AAATAGGCACATAAAATCGTTTGGGAAAGATGATGAAAAGAATATCAGAAGAAATTGTTTAACAGATAAAACTCACGCTGCGCGAGGGTGTCATTAGAACTAGCACAACTCTGTTCAGTTGTATCGTTAGCGTGTGGATAGGCCGGATCATAGCAACCACATTCATAGATGATCTTCTCCTGCAGGCAATTTCGAAAGCATGATTCTACCTGAAGCAATGCGTAGTCTCGACTGCAACAAAAATTTAAAAAGGTGAGCACACTTCATAGGGGCCTTGATAATGTCTTCCATTCAGTGTTGTTTGCGTAGTGCATGCTCCATAAGGTTTCGGTAGTCTGTGAGTGCTGACAAATCGAACTCCGATGGATGTGGCTGTTCCTGGAGGTGCAAAGTAGCCGAGAACGTCAGGAAATGGAACTTCATCCTGAAGAATATGGCAGAGATGCTGTGAACCTTTTGTCCAATACTTTAGGAAAATGTAGCTAATTGAAAGGGAATGAATGTTGGAAGTTGAAAAGAGACATCATTTAAGGAGATGATCAAAAATTCTAAATGACGCCTCAAAAAGGAAGCTTTCCGGTACTGAAAAAACTTAAATATGAATTTAAATACACTGCGCTTCACAGCTGTAGGTCCACCCTTAATTTAAAAGTTGTGGATGACAAAGGTTTATAAAGATCCAGTGTTAATTTGTAGCAATCTACTGTAATAAGCAACAGATAAATTAACCTTGCGCAAGCTCTTCTTGTACCAAGATGTTCTGTGTTTTTTTCAAAATTCAGCTCATAATTTTCTCTGTTCACTCTGTTCCACTTAAAAAGCAATTGTATGGAAGCATTTTGCCGACTGATTGACGGCAACATTCAAAGTTCACCACATACACTGTCTAGAGTAATTTTTGTGGTTCCGACTCTTAGCTTAATAATGTCTCAGCATTTCTTGTTTACACAGCAAGATCGGAAAGACTGTATAACCAATTAAGTTGTAGTCGCGGTATCTATCCTGAGATTTATAGGCTTGCAAAGTGATGCTTCATCATTAAATGTTGCATTTTCGGCCTATTCTGAACAAAACTTATCTTTTAATATCAGCCGTAAACATGTTGTGACTGCTTTCCCTACCGGTATGGAACAATATGAAATAAACATTGGCATATACCAAAAATGCTTTAACTTAGAGTTTTCACCCCAAATGTTGCCTACATCTAACATGATGTAAGTTTATAAAGCAACCGAAACATACAATGCCGCTCATAACTTCCGCAAAAAAAAGTGATTTCACATAAAAATCCTTCACGACGAGATGATCCGGCAGAGCAGCATTTTCATAACTTCTTCAATACATATTTTTCAAAAAATAAAAGCTGCGTTAGATCGAGAGATTGCTGTGGTGATGTCACACTACTGTCATCTAAGGTATACGATAGGCATACAGTAGGAAGTCAACATCGCAATTCCTAAAGTCTAAAACTTCATCTAAGAGTGTTATCTGGTACACTGACTATGAAAAAAATTATTCATGGTTTGCGCAACACTTTAAAGGTCGGTAGACATACGTTAAGAGCTTATCATTGCAACTACATCCCTTCGCCTTGAGAGATTATTCCATATGCTATCATGAAAAACTACCCGTTTGTCAAAATCATGCCTTGTCGTAAAGATACTGTAGCTACACGATCAGAGATCAATACCGCTCCTCCAACCACAGCCTACTTGGGTTATTATGTACGAATGCGAATTATGAACACGGTGATGATTTATTGTAAAGGCACGGCTTAAGTTTTCTTCTCACATGCGAATTTATTGCTTAAAGTGCTGATAAACATTTTCTGAATAGCGTATTAAGCTTCTTCATCCATGGTCTGATATATCGTACACCCACATCACCACAATAGGACTTTACCGTACACAGATACGTTATTTGCCTTCAGCATATCAAATAAACACAGTAGTCACTTTCCAGGCAAATCCGTAATTCTGACCTCCGATCGTGCATTTATCGTAACCTCACAGTAAAGCCTAACAAATGATGATGATATTATATTCGTGACACCAAAGAAAGTGTCCCATTAGGTGAGGTCTCAGTGAGATCTGAAGTTTTGACATTTTGGGCCAAGAATCTTACATACTGCTGTAGTAAGCATGGGTGTGTGACGTCATCGATGGGTATATCTACTTGCCACCAGAATTTCAAAGACTCAATCGCCGAAATTTTGTCAAGTTGGGTTATCTGGAGTCTGATCACACTGATATTATTCAGTTGGCACGGTAGAGACCCATTGTAGGGCAACGGTAGGTGAATGCAGAAATGTCAAGAAGTGGTCTACAGAATTTATTTGACATGATTATCACAACTACATATTCATTTTGTGCGATAATCTCTGCTGTCTTAAACTTGTTAGAAGACTAACGTCAATCCGATGATGAGATAGTAATTTTAATTTTAATTCATCATTCAGAAAAACGTGGGTGAAGCTGAACAATTTTTTCTTTGCTAATTATTACTTAAAAATTTGTAGGCCGAACTTCATACATAATTGTTTATGAGTTTCACCTTGTATTATGGGTTATTCTTTCATGCTTAAACTAACTTCTGATCGAAAGGCAAATTGTATTCATTTTTAACTTAGAAGTTCATTTTTTCTACAAGAGATACGTGAAACGGTTTGCTAGAGTTCTAACGAGTTCATATGTTAACACTTCTAGAGTGTGAAACCAATTCATTTAATAACTTAAACAGTTAATGGCATTATGTTCACTGCAACAGGTACGATTTTATGAAACGGTCATAAGATTTAAAGAGACATTCAACTTGCGTAATCCTTACAAAACACTTGAGGTCTGTTATCTAACGTACGGCCAATGATTGGTATAACTAAGTTTGGAAACAGAT